TCCCGGCGCTAAAAATAAAAGCTAAGATTTAAGCTGATATGGACAAATGTGCACAGTACAAAGCACAAAGCACATCACAGCGGGCTAGCAGTAAAGGCCGAGTCATGTAACTTGGGCTATGATGTGTTTTTCCTACCTGGGCACGTGCTTTTCACGAATATTTACTTTTTATCAGTAGAACACTTGATGCTCACTGATCTTTAGCGGAGTTGGTCTTATGAGGGAAACCACAAGAGCAATATATAGGAACAGAGCGAGCTAGTGCTAGCTGAATACCGTAATCTTTTTTTTTTAAATCTTGGCCGTTATGTCATAGGACTTTTGATCAGATTAAATTTCATTTAAAACGTTTGGAAGTTTTTGTGATTGAACGATTATCAAATACTCGTTCGTCATAAATAAATTCCAAAGAGTAAATGGTAAACGACTAATCGAATGATCGAGTAATTGGATTTGTTCGATTATTCGTCTAATCGAGGAGCTTATTAAGTTGCATTTCTTGAATATTCGATTATCTGTCCGAATTGGTCGAACTGTTCAAAATTTTCATTAACACAAATATTCGGTCTCAATAGAATAAATTATAAGAGAGAGTAAATTTGATAATTTTATAGGTAGACGCTGTTGACGAAGTTGGTTGCTCAGCTCTTCATCTTTGCGCCGAACACGGTTACTATCGGATGATCAAACTTTTGCTTCAGGTAGCTTTTTTTCAAACACATTATGTAGTTCTTTTATAAAATCATCATCTCATTTTACAGTATACTGATGTCGTACAACAGTACGAAGAGGCAGTTATGGACAAAAATGGCAAGTATCCAAGCCGTGAAAATATTGATGAACCGCTTCGTTTGGCTATCAAGGTAGGTTCGATAACTCATCAGAGGTGTCCGGGAACAGCTCTTCCTGGGCATTACTAATTTTTAATTAGGTCTAAATACACTTAAGCCTCAGTGATCTCTACTTTAGAATGGACATTATGAATGCGCCAGGCTTCTCTTAGAGAATGGTGCCAGTGCAAATGCCATCTACTTCGATGGCCCAGAAATCACCGTTGTTAGCCCTTTGGACACAAATTTTATCGAGCTACTGGTGAGAATTTCAGAACTTTCAATTGCTTACATCT